ATTCCAAACATTCGTTATGGAATAAAATAAGATATCATTCATAGGAGGTCTACTTTAAATGAATGGTAACAAATTGCACTAACATGGAACACTGTCTACCAGTGAAGATGACAGTGTTCCAGGTAAGTGCAATTTTTTGTTATCTTCTGTATAATTCAGTGTTTATATGGAAATATTCATCTCGAAAAATTTTTTTTCTTTCGTGTAATTCAATATTTATGAAAGTAGCTGTTTCAGAAGGACTTTTCCAGTTTGTGTCTGAAAGTTGCTTCTTTGCACTTTGCATCCATGTATAGAGTTACTTATTTTCAACTTGATTACTTTCTTCGAAATGAAGTAATAGAAAGCCAAAAACTTTCTTTCCCAAAAAAAAAATGAAAATAATGTCATTAACATATGAATTTTCATGAAAAATCAAGATAATTTGTTTATTGTATTCTTATATTCTTGAAATGATATCTTTAACATGGACTCTGAACTTCAATTAGGTTGCTTCAAAAAAGTTTTGGTCCGTTTTTATGAGTCTTCTTTATACTGTAATATTTCAGTGGATACGTAGTCGGTTAATTCCGTCAGGATAAATATTGTGTGCTCGGGATCTATGAAGTCGACGAAGGCCGTTTTTGGCTGGTTCTGATTGGCGAAGGTACCACGACACATAGGAATAAATATTTATTGAGATATGGAGCAACGAAAAACATACGAAACAACCTAATAAAAACTTTCATCTTCGAATATTTTTTGGTTGATCTTTGAAGTGATACGAAAATGTTCATTGTTTTTGATTTTGATCAATCAGAGAATGATCTGATGAGAAACATATTTATAATACTTGTTTTTCTACTATAAAATGTATGTTAGATATCTCATAACAAACGTTATTGAGATGACGATACATCATTCAATAATCATTTTTGGGATCATCTCATCTGTAGACGTTTTCGGAAAACCATCTTCAAATCAATGCAAATGCATTGTTTATACTATAATTCTAAAATAGTAGGTGTTCAATTCTCAGTAATGACTGACGTTTTTGCCTCAATCTGTCTCTTGCAATGGCGTACGGAAATTATACTTAACACTGTATGAGGAAAAATGATGATGAATATTTAGAATCACAACCTTGACAACAATGTTTTCATATCAATTCAACAATATTTCTGAGAATGTAATGCCAACTATTGTTGAATTGTACTATACCAGAATAGCCAATGAAATTGAACCACCCCTAATACAACTAAGTATATCTTAACGTTCGCAAAACTCTTAGATGAGTTATTGTCAGGAGAGTATTCCTTACATGGCCATCCTGCGAGAATCATCTACTGGTTGTGACTCATTCAAAGTGTTAGTAGCTAATTTTATTCGATCAATATACTTTTTATCGTTGTTTCTTGTTTTGGGGGTTGCCTGATGCTTGTTGAAGTACATAAGTAATGTACATGCTTTGTATTTTGAATATTATTGCAACAAAGATAAAATTGACGGTTTCCGAAAGGAGATACAAATCCAATTCTACAATATGAAAGAATTGGTCTCAAAGTGATTCGATTGGCAATGTGTTTCAGTAAAGACACACCCGAGGAAGCCATTGTATGGCGAAACACGTGTTGCGTTTTTGTAAAATCGTTTAGTGGAAATTTCACAATGAAGTGTTTTTTTGAATTCGTTGAATTATTCTAAGTTGAAGCCAATTCAATATTGAAATTGTTTAACTTGAGAAAAGCTCAAGTTATTACTTAAATTTTATGTATAATATATATATATGATAATGTAAGGAAAAGTTATTTATTAATAAAATCTTTTATTCCTCATTTTGTGTATGTACAAATATTATAGCTACAATAAGTAAATTATTACTTTTGTGAGAGAAATGGAAGCCAAACAAACTGGCAGCGTTACGCGTCAGGTAACGAAGCGGTTTACCTTCCCATAAGAAGTTATCACTTCAAAAATACCATTTGTTGCAAAGTTGAAACACAATCAACTAAGTTCCTCAAATTTCTAAATGAAATCACCTATCGACTTTGAAGAATAGGTATTGCTTTCAGCTATAATCCTGATAATATTTTTTATCATTTTTCAATCTGAGGGTAATATGTCTGTGGACGATAAAATGTACCTATCTCTGTTGTTGGGTTTCAAACGATGATCATTCTATGGCATATGGTATTTTGTTCCACCTACTAATCAGGTGGTAAGGAAAAGAAAGTTCAATATTATCTGTATTGAGCGTTCGATTGTGATAATCACTTCATGAGCTATACAGACAGATAGGATTACCTACACCTCTTCAACGGATACATTCATATTTGGGTAGTAGGCAGTAATATGTTACAATGGAAGAGATATCTTCAGACTACAGGAAAAAATGAATTATGCGTCCCTTAGAGAGACGTTGTTGTCATTTCTAACTTATGTTATTGTCATAGAGGAACTGCAAGTATCTATTATCTTCGATTCACAGAAAAGGTTAATCCAAAAAAATATGAAAATATCCTGACAGGTACTAATGATTGTTTTTAAGCAAGCCGTTCCTTTCTTAGTATTAGCAAAACTCAGTATTTAGAATTCCGAACTCCAACAAAGATTGATAGGAGAAAAGATGAAAAGTGAGAAAATTCAGGCGACTTTTGTAGTGAAATATATATGAGATATTTGCTTTTATCGTATTCTCACCTTTCACAACCTAAAAAATAAAAAAATTGTAATGGAGAATGTTATTAAAATTGTTCTAACCATCAATAGTTTTCTTATCTGAAAAGAGCTAAAAAATGATACAGATACTGATCTTAATGTTTCGGGCGCTAAAATTTGTTAAGATAAGTATCTGCAGCTGTTTTTTGATAGGCAAAATCAATAAATATGACAAGTTACTGAAAAAAAATATTTCTCCGTGAAAAATACGAATTTATGCAGTAACTTATGAAATAAAAAGTGTAAAATGTTCTTCTTTATAATTTTCATATACATTCAGATTGTGGAAGGTGAAAATGCCCACAGGAGGCCGATAAAAATCGATTCCCTCCACTAAACACGACTTTCGTTCAATTTTTGAGACATGCAAAATGATATTTCAATTTGAAAAGCATTCTCATCAAGTTTGAAATTGCCATCAAAGATTTTTCAGACCTGATATCCATTTGTACAAGATTAATTATTGCTCGCGGCTCCGCCCGCGTAGAATTAAGTTTCGTGATAGACCATTTCAAACAAATAGTTATAATATTATTTAATTAACCCAAAATTTTAGGTTCACAACTTCAAAACTGACAAAATTCAATAAAATCTTTGAACCCCTATTTTCCCCCTTGGGGGTGAAAATTCCTGATGCTTATTTACGCCATACAAAGAACCTACCTGCATATTTCAAGATTCTAGGTTCAGTAGCTTTGGACTTACGTTAATATAAGAGCGGGCAACAGCTGTAATTTATATTTTCAATTTAAAAATATAGTAATTGAAAAATTTGCCAACTGCACTAAATAATGAATTGCTCCGAGAATCGAAATATGTTGCCTATGAAGAAATTTGCAAAACCAACACAACCGTCAAGGACGTCTGCCCTCACGCATCTGCCTGTGTTCGGGTACCGTTTTTGGCGATGGCACTTCATTGCTTAGACCACTCCTCTACCCCCGCCCATCGTTTCCCGTCGTCTTACAGTAGATGCGACGCGTAATGGCTTATCCAATATAATTTCATTTATGGTTCAGTATTTTGCATATAGTGGCTACCACATTAGGGGAAGATATATGCAATCGCAGACTTTCATTCAGAACTATTCAAGATAAACAATCTTACGGTATATTATCTGCATGTAACTCCAACGGCATAGGCAGCTCACACCAAGGTAGCTCTCAGGGAGCAAGTATTTTTCCCACACACATTCAATACTAATCGTTATATTTTGACCAAAATTACATGAAATCTTTGTAAATTGTAGCCTAAATGTTATTCTGATGTATACGCTGTATTTATATAAAGCTTCATCTAAATCCGTTCAGTCGTTCAGGCGTAAAAGCGCCCCAAACATATACACATACATACATCCATCCTCACAAACTTTCACATTTACTTATATCAGTATACATAGGTATATATACTCAGATATCATAAATAAAATGATCAGAAATTGAGAAATACCTGAATGGTGGGTGTTCTTCTCAGTTTCGAATGTCATGTAATGAATTTTGCCAATCACAACACAACAAAGTTTTTGTTTCGGGGTTGAAATTAGATGTTTTTAATGTATTTCCACGTGTTAAAACCGAAAGTGACCATAAAAATTATATATTAGCTCTTGTTTTCAAGATATAGTATCATTATATTATATATATGTATATTGAGTTTTCAACAAATGAAATATTTCATCACCAACAATTTTCGTTTTTATCACCCCAAAATTAGTAGAAATTGACTAATTTAGTGTAGGAAACATTCAAAAAATATTTTTTTGTTGTGTTGTGAATCGAACGTTCCAAAAATACCACCAAGCTAAGTCATCTTTTGAGTGTCTACAACTTTTGGCAAAAAATATCGTTTTTTTTATATCGCAAGCTGCATACTCTTATTCAATGGATCCTAATAGTCCATATTTTTTAATGTATTCTCAGTTGAATGTAGGATGAATCTATCGAAAACACTATTTCCGCACAACAAAAATATTGTATTTCGACGCGCGTTCTGCTAACCAGCGAATGACTCAGACGATATTTTTGTTTCAGTGTGTGAAAAGTGTATTCAACGGATTCATTTTATGCCAGAGTTTCCAAATTCTACCTGTCACAATACAGACTATATTCAAAGTATAGATCTGCCTAATTAACACCACTATCATTTGAAATTCATTCATTTCATCAATGTGAAGCATTATTTTTATTGTTTATAAATATTTGGAAATGAAAAATCCAAATTTTATCGTAGGTTTCCAGAAACAACGTGCATTAAACTCATTGATTGGGTTGGTAGATGAATATTGAAATACGAACTTTTTTAACTGTTTATTTAGTAAAATCTAGTACATATCTACCTAATTTACATATAAAAAGCGAAAACACATAGAAAACTGACAATATTGTTTCAAAAGGAAAAAAGTAGAAATTTAATTTATATACTAGTAAAATGATTTTTCTTGAACATTGCCGCTATATACATCAACTATCTATACAAAAATATTGGATTTCCTAAATTCCATGAAATGTGTTTCAAAACGAGATCTATATTATGGCATATCATGAGAAATTTTTACAGTCTATATACAACTAATCACTTAGGATGTTATCGCGCCTTCAGTGAATATCATTCAGAGCCAACCAATTTAAAAATATCTCAAAAATTACATCTCCTAAGGCAATTTATCACAAAATTCAATTTGGATATTCTTTATCACTTCAAATTCACTTCTTTGTGCAATCGTCGTTCGACTGATCCTAAATTTTCGTAGAAAATTTTTGGACAAGCGAATCTGATACTTACAAATACAAATACTGGATCGCTATCCAGTTCATTTCTTCTTCTTCGATTCATTACAAAAATAAATATAAAGATCGGTAAACTTATATCTAAACATATCACATAAATTCATACAAAATATTTACAGTAAGTATTGGACAATTAGCAAAAATAATTTTATAATGGTATCAAAATTGAAATAAATCATGAAGTCAAATCACTTGAAATGTGATTTTACCAGTTCAATGGAGATATAAACAATTTCAAGGCAGTATTTAATTTTTTTTTTCAGAGCAACATATCAATACTTGAAACTTGAATAAAATTATGAAGCTAAGCTTTCCCATCAACTGAGACTAAGGTTTTTGAAAGTTATGACTCACAGAAACTGATTTGCTTCAAACCGCATCAATAATTTGAATAATGTTCCACACGAAACCAAAATGTCCCTCCCTATTCATAGGGGTCAGTCAAGTTTCACGTTAGCAGAATTTTAGTAATTTTCAACCCCCACCTCGTTGTTAAAAATAAGCCAAGCAAAGACCCCCTACCCCCTTTGATGCTTACGTAATATTTGAATGACCCTCAAATCACATTTCTGATCATTTCATCCCAATTTCTATACGACGGCTCCAGTTGGTATTTCGTAACAAACTTGAATCTAACTGTCTAATTCTAAAAAAACATCTCATTCCACTTGTTGAATAGAGAGTAATGGAATTTGAATTACTCTATGTACCGTTCTAATCATTCATGATCTACGTGATTCGTAAGGAAGATTGTTATTCTTCAATGACTCTAGTGTTTCAAAAATAAGTGTGACTGAGTACAGGATTTTTCTAAAATTCTATACTTCACTCTACCTATACGAGTAATCTGTTTTCTCAAAATGTTAAGAAATAATTTCATTTGTGTAACAGATTTTCCCTACGTGAACAAGACAAGATATAATTCAAATTTGAAGAAAATATGTCGGAAAAGAAAAAAGAAAATGTCAATTGGTTATAGGAACAATCCACGTTTTATGTTCATTACAATAATTTGAATGTAAAGAGAAACAGTCTCAGTGTCGCCAATTAATGGTCACAAAAAAATTGAGGAAAGTGAGCTAAATTTTCAAAAATGAGAGGTATTGTTCCACATCTTGTCCAACGTGATGAATGACTCACCTTGTACCAAAAACTCGAGATTTAATTTGAAAGTAGAGGTCATAATTATCATTTTTCATAATAATCGTTTGATGTACACATATTTACGATGAAAAACCTAATGGAAATAAATAAGAAAGTGAAATTTCTCCTTCTTTTGGAGATGATACATATTACACAAACTTGTGTCCATTGATGTTGTGTCTATATGTTAACTATTCCATAGATTGTGTCATGGTCTCCAGGTTTTGATCCCTGACGTTTCGTCTACGAATGAGGCAGACATTATCAAAGGTGATGAGGCAACGAGAAAATGATCAAATTGTTTTTAAAGCAGATACTACACAACTGCTTTGGGTCTTCGATTATATTCTATTGGTGATCGGAGTAACTTTTTTCCTGTTGGCTGAATCAAACGATCCGATACGAGTGCAATTAAGTGCAGACAGATATATTCTATCAATTTAACATCCCCCTTCCTTTTGGTTGGAATTGTATTCGTCCAATACATTCCTCTTTGTGATCCCAATGTAGACCAGATATAGCTACAAAGGATCCAGTAAACCTCCCGTTTTACCAAAGACCTTCTCTCTCTGATGGTTTTTGTTGGCCTGAATATCGATTTCTGAAGGAAGCCAATAGACACTTGATAACACCAAGGGTTCAGAAGCGAAACATGCACTTAGAGGAGGTATCCAAGTTATCACGTTTGAAAAGACTGAGTGAGTCCTCAGTAGGACTCTTTACTATCCAAGACTATGAACGAAGACAATAGAAATTCAGAAACACTGAAAAATGTTCAACCAAAAGGAAAAGGGAGTTATTATAAACAAAATCTGACTACCTGCACTCGGTTAATCTCGTATCAAGTCATTTATTCCAACTAATAGGATCGATGCCATTCCTACAACTAATATAATGAAACCGAAGATCCAATCCAAATCTACAGATAGGTTTTATTTCAAGGACGATCATATCACTTCGTCCGTTGCTTCATCACTTTTGATACCACAGTCGTGGAGGCCAGAAGACCTGCAGACCACACCTAGCAAACCCGAAAATTATCTTTGATACATTTATCACCAGCCGTGAAAGTTTACATGTTTTGATGAGAAAAATTCGAAGTTGGTTGAAATTTTTCTCTTACAACCACTAGCACACGCATTGATTTTATATTTACCAAACTTCACAAATGGAAATTTTTACTGTTGAGATTACTGAAACTAGCAGCCATCCAACTAGCTAACTGAAAATAGATATAATATATTATGGCTTATACCAGTTGAGTGAATCCAAGTTTGTGGTTTCTAATGATCTTTGCCGACCCGTGAAAATATTTATCATATAAAAACGTTATCTCGAGTTGAGTTGTAGCATTTGAAGCTAATGTATGTAATAAGCGTTAAATTGAGCATGCAATCACACCTGTAACCTAATGATTTCCTTGTAACTTCAGAAAAATTAAAACTGGAAAACTACGTTTTTTTAAAATTCAATATGTTTGTCAAGTACCACACTTGCTACTTTCGTTATTTGTTTCAAAGAAAAAATAACCCATTCACAAAAGAAGAACATGGTGAACAGATCGAAATGAAAATAAATGGTCAAAACTCAAGAACTCTGGGTGCAGTATATTCCAGTCAGTGCACCAATGAGAAAACTCATTCAGACAGGAAAGAAAGGAAATTGGGAGCTCCGCCTAACCATATTTTGAAAAATACTATTCTTTTTCCATTCTACTGGTATCGCACCAACGGAACATACGCACCAATTCCTAGGTATTAGCTGCAAGACGGTCTGAAAGATATGGCCTACACTATTTGACCATCGAAGAAGTTTCGATAAAGTCATCGTTGAGTCCATTAAAATCATCCCCTACATGGATAAAAAAATTGGAATAGAACTTGAAAAGCAAATCAACGGTTACTTGTTTGGAAAGGTTTCCTTCCAATGTGTGAACTATGGCAGCAATGGTCACTTGCATGGAAATTGAGAAACGAACGTATAGATGTAAAGACATTCATTATCAGCGTTTGAGTATTATAAAGGGACATTTCATATAAAGTTGACTTTATACTCATGAGATTCTCAAAGGCTGTCAGAAAACTATAGGGTTACTGACATCATATTATATCTGAATTAAAGCTAACAAAATTTGCTACAGCTTCATCTGATGCAACTCTCTTCGTATTTTGTTCGTTACTTGAAAAAATCACTCATTCTCGAAGTATATCCTAAAAAATATAGTAAATTCAATGTGCTTCAGATTAATCCAAGCCGCAAACTTGGATTCACATTGATGATACTGGTGCTAACAGCATATTAAAAATCAGAATTTGCAATTAGAAAGCAAATTCGATATAGACACTCATTTACTAGCTAATTAATTGAATGTTTCAGGTCTAATAATGGTGTCCATTTGAAACGTCAGGTATATGCTATTTCGTGAGTTTATATCGAACAATATTGAAAAAAAAACATTTTGTGAATATCATTATTGGGAGTGTTTCAATTGCAAAGTTAACCTCAAAATGATTTGGAATTGGATATGAGCAGCAGGAAATTTCAATTTCTAGAACTTCACGATACAACATCATGTTTGAGTCATGGTACTGCTATTAAGTACTTTGCCAAAGGTTGAACGAATTGCCAACCAGAGTAGATACCAGCACAATTCATTATAAACATCCACACCTCTCCACCACCATCCCAGGCATTGACCCAGACAAAATATTCATATGCTGATCGAAGTAAAGCATGGAAATGCTGCCTAATTTCCTTGGCGTACAGCAAGGTGGTAAACTATTTGGCATCGCGATCTGTTTGAGGTGTGTATGCAGGTATTTTTGAAGCGACAAGAAGCTGCACTCTCCCGCACACATATAGGAATTGAATGTTCTTGGGGCGATGATGAAGTCGAATCCGAGATATCCGAAGTCTACGACGAAGGGGTACCGACAGCAAAGGGATTGGTCCGATGAATCGTCACAGTTTAGAGCGGTGCTGCGTCTTACTCGACGTTTCGATTCGTAAGTTGATATTTCCAGGTAAGGAATCTGAAAGAAAAATGTTCAATTAATATTTGAAATTTTTTTTCAGGGGAAATTTCAGCGACAAAATGGTCATCCTAACAAATTTGAAGAGATATAATTTTCCGCGCAGGATTGTCTACGCAATTTCAGTGTAGGCAACATCTTTTCACTGAAGAGGTTTCGGATTATTTCAATAAACAACAAAAATATTCATTTTCAGAAAAAAAACATTATACCTTCATATTTTTCATGTTTCACAATTATGGAACAATTTCATCCAATTTTATTATTTACGTCGTTATTGAATGTACAGTACTCTGCAAAAAATATCATCTATGTATATCATACATAGATGATATAAGGCTCAATGAAGGCTTCTCGACAAAAAAGTCGAAGTATTGCGTTTGGTGAATTATGAAACAAAATACTGTTTTATAGCTTACAAAATGAAAATGTTTAGGATGTGTATTGAAATATGAAGAAAATTTTAATGAAATAACAAATTCTTACTAGTGGGCAAAACTCTAATCCTGATGAAAACTAATTTTTAATGAAAGAAGGTAAAACATTCCAATTGATTTATAATTATTCGTTTATAGCAACGCTATTTAAAAATATCTCAGTTGGTGATTTCAAGGTTGCTGCATATCGTTTCCAATGTAGATAATGAACTGAATGGCAACAAAAACCGATTGTTGTTTGGGTGATCGTTGACAAATGATTGTTCATATCTAATACCCAATTAGTTATTTGATGTGAAGAAAAAAATTATTACTCAAGCAGATATATTACTCAACACGTGTGTATACTTTTTTCGTCCTGATATCAAAATTGGCCTATATTCATTCTATATTTAGAAATCCACTATTGAGAGAAATTTATTATGAACTAATTCGTACCCTAAATGACGGTAATATTTTCTGTTCATAAACTCCATATCACCGAGAAACTTTTATATTGTAGTGCGTCAGGTTCTTTTTATTAAAAAACATTCAACTTGGTATTCCATCTATTGAAAACTTTTTTCCGCACCAGAACAAAAATATCTACTATATTATCAAAAGATGGGTAAAATATAGTTTTCAGTCATCTCGTAAAGTGGAAAATACATTCATTTTACATAGAAAGTAAAAGTTGTAGCTATCAAGTAAGGGAATCCATAATGCAATTTCAGTAGAACGAACGATCCATTGAATTTAAGGAAAATCAAATTGATGCAGAAAAATGTGTACACGCTGATCTGAGTCCCTATGTGAATAATTGATATATGCTCTCAATGCATGTACTATAAATACTTATTCAATATAGGTACACTATGGTGCCCATCCATTGGGTAAAGTTTAATGGAAACTTGAAAATGCACAAACAATCAGCTCATAGTTGATTGAGTGGTTACTGTCATCATTCTCAGCAGAAAATAAAATCTAGCAGAGTTTTTTAATGCTGAACTGAAAAAAAACTAAAATGAAGTGAAAAATTAGAATTGAAACTTTCTATGTTTTTTAACACTTTTTTTTGTAACTGAAGTTACTGCAGTTTCGTTCATAAGGACATTTTCAAACTTATACATTGAACTTCAATTGTTAACAAGAAGAAAGTAATACACATTATGAATTAATTGGCGCTCCGGGGCGACTTTATTGATTCCAGTGGCGCATTTGCTTTTTCAGTTGCAGGAAAACCCGGAAAACCTGCAGCTGAAAATCAATGTCCTCTCTTTCGTGAAACAAAATGTAGGGTATCTCCAGAGGCTCCAATGAATTCAAGACATCGCCAGAACACACTTAAACCAGTCTATTTCGTCTTCGAATAATGGTCACATTCAACGCCAGATCCACACTGAACAATGACTGCATGAACATGATAATAGTGGTCTGCTAGATAGAAGTGTTCATCTATTTTGAACCTTCGTGAGAGTTTGGTGCTTCCGTCAGAAGTTGACTCAAGTATGAAGTTAATCAGTGTTATTATTAGGTTGACTGGTGCCTCAGATATACTTGTTTTCCTATAATAGTCAGTCAGTTTGGCGCATGTTTGGCAATACAGTTGATCATCAACCGTTAAAAGTTCCATTAGTTCCATTTTCAGATGATTTAACAATAAGCTTTGCACGGAGTGTACCCAATTGTTTGTGAAATAACAGTGTCTCAGGGGGTTGTTCTTCATTTTCTACGATATGTTTGGTGATTTTTCTAAACATTCTTGTAATTGTTCGTTAAATAACTGTTACTAAGAGGGTTAATTTTTATTTTTTCGCAGTTCTTTCCGTAATTTCACAATATCTTCTTATAATTGTTTGTGCAATGACAAAAATATAGGGGGAATATCTTCATATGATAAGGGTAGGTTAAAAAAAACGTCTTAAACTATGCAAAACAGTGCACACATCGTTTCAAAGAATGAATTCTCAAACCAAAAAATAGCAAAACAATTGTTTTGTTATTATTTGTATTGAAATAATTACAATATTTGTTATTTTATACCATAATGAAGAATGAAATTTTTATACCAGTTCTTCAATTTCAGTTCATAATAACTAAGGAATCATAGGAAAATTTTCTCTTTCTCGTGTCGTAACACATTTCACCTCCTTATCGCTACATATAGAGATAATTTCCGAAATTGTGGACAAACAAACATAATCTATCCTTCTGAAGTATAAATCACTATAGTTTTGAGTTGTTTTTTCATTTGCATTCAGTTTAAAAATAGGTTCACGGACTTATCAATGATTCGTACTCGAAATGACGAAAATCAGTCGATGACCTTACATTCATACAGAAAGTATGTCAAATTCGTACTTTGCAAGATGCAGGATCGGCTCGACAAATTTTAGTACAAAATAGTGTCCAAGATATACCAAAAACATATTTATGTCATAAGTTGGGAATTGAAATTACCGTGAAATTTACCGCTTGGTGCCTTATTTANTTAGTATAGGTGAAACTCGAGCGGTCGAGCAAAACTGAATTATGCTTTTTCAAAAAGATGGTTGGAGAGACTAAATTGAGCAACTTAATTGGCAGTTGTTTTCGATGTCCTTCAATTAGACTTTGTCCAAAATAATATTCGCGATCATAAGTTGTACACTAGCAGTATTGGAAGATGTTTTCCTTTGGAAATCAACCTGTGGAGTGTTCCACATGCACATTTTTCTCTACAATTCTTATTACTTTTGAATTAATTTTCTTCTTTCAGTAGTGAAAGTGGAATCTGAAAATTTTGACCAAGAACTTGAGCAACAAACCAAAACAATTTCAGTGGTTCGATGGTTCGCTAATTAGAATACCAATTGTCACATGATTAGTGTTGAATTCAAAAACCAGTTTGAACAATATTTGTTCAAAATTGATGTGTAATAATTGACCATAAAGAGCTTATGTCGATATTCACAGACAGCAATTGAATTTTTGTTTTCTGGGAATTCCCATTTCACAAATTTTTGACTTCAGAAATACACACTTTTTTCAATCACCAGAATTTCAATAACCTCTTCGACTCGAATAAAGCAGTTTTCTTTTTCTCCTGAAAACGTCAACTTGGTTGGAAAAAGGCACGTCGAAAAGAGTATTGAAGTTCTGGTGATTGGAAAACGTGCTTGTTTTTGGATTTATTTCACGCCAGAAGTTTCAGTTTAAGCTTTTATACTTCTAACTATTATAAAAAATAACGATTTACCCTTTTTCCTTTGTCCACATTCATATCGGTGACAAGCACTTTCTTTCCGTTCACAGTTGCATTCACTAGGAAACCATGATTGTCTCGAGGATTCCTGAACCACTCTGATACGGTTTCAGTGAAATCGATTTTAACCCAGTCTCCCTTTCCTGGAGGTTGTGGAATTTTCCTACCGTAGACTTTGGTTAGCGCTGCTGGTTCAAAATGGTCCGTGATCTTCCTGACTCTGTATATGTCTACAATTACGTCATGATAAACTGAGCTTCTCTCTGTCCCTCTGATGTACAAGAACAGCGTTGCGTTGCTCACTTGAAATTTGGTTATACTATTGCTGAAGGAGAAGTGGAGAATGTCATGGCCTTTGTGCCTCAGTCTTGGAGCTGGAAATAAAACACAGTATTATTCTTGGTCAATACTTGATGAAAATGGAAGTCAAATGGACTGAAAGCTAGCAGTTCATACAAATTTATTCTATATTCGTATATCTTCTGCTATATGTTCAATACTATAATGTAGAGGACACATGTATAACAATAAAAAAATCTGTTTTTGAATTGAATTTTCCTTTGGTTCGTTAATACTGGAAAATACATACTGTAAGATTCACGGTTTGAGCTCAGCTGTCTTTCACAAGAACAATACTGAGTAGAAAGTCGAAATAACATTCCCTATGTAGATATCATGTATAGGCTTGGCAGAAAACTCAAAACACATCCTTCCAAGAGGTTCCATGTTTTCCTGTCCTCATCTGAAGTCTTCGATGACGACTATCAGATGAAGATTCGTTTTCTCACTACAAATTTCAATGCACACAGGCAATTAGTTGGAAACAGCACATAAAAGTTGATTATATCAAATTGAAAGAAATCATTAGCGATACTTCAATCTTCAAAAACAACTAAACGATAAAGATATGAAAGATATAAATCAGTGCGAAAACAGTGAGACAAACAAGTGGGGATTTCCTGAGTTCGAAACCAATTTTACAAAGAAAACGAAGGACCACCGACCACTCAAGATCTGTCTTCATGAAAGCCAATTATATTTCCAGATGACAAGCAGTTTTATGATGAACTTCAAATTAATAATGAATTCAAACTGCCCATGAGTACCTCCACATATTTAGTAAATGAAGTTTGAGTTTATGAACTCATGAAAAATATAATGCACGTTACAGTGAACACCGCACTATGAATTGGAGGATTGGAGAGGATTTTAGAAATCCAAAAAATATTTCAACAAACTAACTCTGGTCTATTTCAAAGGCAAAATGTGGCAAAGGTCTAACATAGAGATTACCAGACGCAATTAAAAATCATCAGTTAGAGTTCCTCAATATATGTTTATTGTTTGGAAAGGAAGAAAATATTTTAAACTACAAAAAATATACTGAAACTAAAATGAAATCTAGAATTATATTATGGAGGAAATAAAATAATTTAAAAAAAATTTGAACGGTTTTATTGAAAAAAAAATGATATAGACAATGTACTAAAAAATGAAAAATGATTCGAAAGGTCCTAGCAGTCATCACATCACTCTTCTCAACAATCTACGATATTGATCAGATAAAAAAAAATAATGAAATGGTTTGGCGTAACGTAACCTGAGTAAATAAGTAAATGATAAGCCCAACGATTTTATTGATTTTTTGTCTGATCAATACCGTAGATTGCTGAGGAGAGTGGTATCACGACTGCTACCTAGGACCTTTCGAAGTATTTTTCAGTTTTTAGTACATTATCTACATCATTACCATTTTGTTTTCAATAAAACAGTTCAACATAATTATTTTCACTCATTTCATTTTCCAGTTTATAGTAACTAATTTTTATTCACCCTGATGCCACACAGTTTTTGTCTTGTTCAACGTTTCACCTTAACTTGGGTGGTGTATCGCTAACGACGTATCATTTTTAGCCACTCCAACGCCACACAGCCCTCGACACGATACAAAATCTTGACTTAGGTGGGAGATCCATAATTGTTTCCCGATTCTAAGTTCTTTGTATAGATTACATTGGATTTGCATTTTTTTTATTGTGTAATACTATATTACTAGTCAAGCCCTGTCATTTGACACTCATAGGTATCAGTAGTTGTGAACCATTATGTAATCCGCCATTTTGTTACTGCGGCCATCTTGAATTTGCATCTTTTCAAGAGTATACTACTATTCTAATAGTCTAGCCCTGTCATTTGACACCCATATTGAGGTAGTTGTGAATCAATATGTATTCCGCCATATTGTAGCTGCGGCCTTATTGGATTTACAATGATACAGGAAGGGGGTCAATCTCCAATTACTGAATTTGACCCAAATAAACAAACAAACAGGCAAGCTGAATAAAACTGTTTAGAAAAAAATTTAATCAGCATAAATAACTCACTCTGAGTTGAAGTTTATGATCCACCTGATCCACAAAATGATTGAGTATTCAAAAAACCAAAATCGAAAAGTTTCACGGAAAACATGACATGTATTAGATTCTTCATTATTTTGTTGAGTTCAAAAACTATTTTCAACAAGATTTTGAATACAATTCACATTTTAATAGATATTCAGAAAGACATGTATTTACATTAACAATATCATTTATTATTTTTAACGAGTTAACATCTCCTAGTCCTAATATTTTTATATTGTTCAATTGTGTTTTGTCTGCTCCGAATAATTGCCGATGTGCCGTGATTACTAGCATTAACAGAAACCAAGAACAACACGATAAATACAAAGTTAGTAACCGAGGTAATAAATAATATATAATGACCTCCATATCTTATAAAATATTCAAAATGCAGTGAAGAGATCAAGTTTAATTGTTATAAACGATTGAAATATTTATTTATAGTCAATTAGTATTGATCTTTGATCTTAATTATTGTTTTTAGATTTGATTCTACCAAGTCGGTGGACAATTTCAACTGTTTTCGAAAATATTTTGTTGATTTATTGTAGATTGAATGTTTTGAATTTGGGTAATTTTAGAATCTAGGAAAAATATCATATTTTTGCATTCACGACTGTTGATTTTTTTTTGGTAATTCAAGGATAAATGTCCACCGTCTGGAACTAGAAGGTATTCATGTAACTGTGACATTTATTTCAAGATAACAGAAATTAGGATTATGCCGTGAGAGAACAAAGCCTACAAATCCACCCTGAACTCCTTGAAAGCCAAAATAAGATGGTGGTTCATGTTTTCGAAATGGATAAGTAATAGCTTTCATTTGATATCCCTTTCCATTGAGAAAATGCAGAATGAATTGTAATGGGACTCGGACGCTAACTGAATTCAAATTTCGACATCATAGATACCTGAATCCTGAAAAATTTTGTTGAATATGTTTATCAAAGAAAAATGAGAGTGAAGTTGTTATCAGAATTGGAATCTTTTATTATTTTAGATCTACTTTTTCAANCGACTGGGGAAATTAATACATTTTTCTTTCAACTTCGTTCTCAATTGATGTAACCGAAATTGAAAAATATATTATTGAATGATCCTGAATGCCTCATGTTGATTCAAACTCAAACATTATACATTCTGCAACTATTGAAATTGAGTTCCTGACATCCTAGTGACGAATACATAAACCTAAATAACTTTCTAATTGTTTTCACTCGAAAGATTTGATGACCCGAGATAAGTCTGAACTCATTTGTTGTAATAAGTATAACTTTCAGTGCACACCATATTCAGGGTGGCCTATCGAAATAAGTCCATCAAGATTTGGTACTTTGCCTGTGAAAATACGTTCAATATATATTTTTCCGTTAACCAGCTGTCGCACCCCTACGAACGACAACCCTCAAAAGTCGAAACTTGTTCGAACTAAGGACTAACGAGGTCTTACCTTTTAAGATATGATTCCTAACACGAGTTGGACGATAGCAAGTAAAAATCTATAGTTCACTCTGCGGCTTGAACCACCGAACAAGACGGCGGTCGATTAACCTTAAATAAAGTAAATAAAGAAAATATTAAGATCCTGTACTTTTGTTCTCAAGAGGACATATAGACACATTAATTCCATCACAGTAACTTCAACCATTTAGCGCGGCGGCATTCATCCTTATTTTTTAAAAGGATGGAGTATGATGTCATAAATTGCCTGAAACGGCACCAAATTTTCCAATTAGGAATTTGGTTTCCCGAAAAATAAAATTCGATTTTATCAAATAGTACTTACACCTTCTTACACCTACATACAATACTACAGAATCCTTTCAATATTTTCGCAGACATTGTGAAAAATATCAGATATCCTTTCTTTGCATTCATCAATGATACAGTTTCGTAAATCTTTTGAGATTTCAAGCTGCATACATTTTTGAAGTGATAAATTCTTATGGGAGGGTTATTTAACTAGTTACGGCGTCAGACTGTATACATTTCACGTTTACGATTACTTAATATTTGGTATCTATTGTAATACTGACTAATTGTAAATAGTATATATATTCGAAACAACATTAAATCTTTAAACTTACTTCCAAAACTAAAACACGCAACGGCTCTCGGCGCTATAGAAAATACAATACAGCTGTCAAATGTAGGAAGAACTTTCTGAATTCCGTTATGGTCCCACCCACTAGATGTGCGTTCGTTAGAAGAGTATGAGAGCGAAAGAGAGAGAGAAAGAATTCTCAAGCTGAATATATGTACATTATTAGTATCATTATTTGATTCTATAAAACTAACAATTGGCTTATGGTAGCTGTAATATACGTACATACACAAAAAGATCAATAAAAAACTACAGTTTATTGTATGATTTTTACTATAAAGGGTTTTACAAAAACCGCGATACGTGTTTCGCTATACAATAGCTTTCTCAAGCATGAACTGCTTTATGCATAAATTGCTTTATGCTTGAAGTGATGACTGGACTTATTTCTCCAAGAGATTACTATTCATATGACATTCAAGTGCTTTCACCTACCCCCTCTTTCCTCTCTTTGCTTCGACGGTTTAGCGGGAGCTGACCACTTGGCGGGAGTTGGCTGTTTTCCGCTTGATTAGTAATCATAATTCTCAATCAATAATCAAGCGGAGATGACTACTCATAGGTCATTCGAGTGCTTTCACCTATTCCCTCTTCCCTCTCACCGCTTCACTGGTTTTCCGCTTAAATGATGATCATAATCCATGATCAATAATCAAGCGGAAAAGGGCAAACTCCCGCCAAACGGTCAGTTCTCGCTAAACCGGTGACGCGGAGAGAGGTGATAGGTGAAAGCTATCGAATGTCCTATAAATAGTCATCTCTCAGAGCAATAAGTCCAGTCATCACGTCGTGAGGTAACCTAATCTTTTACTTTTTATTCATTTTTTGCTTGTATTTGATTGTAATTTCGTTTCAGGGTTTTTTTGCT